CACCATTCAGAATGCCCTAATTTCTCGCGTCTTAAGGAAGAGAGCTTCCCTGGATCCCCACACTCCTCCCTGGCTCCGTGGCGATGCTCCCTCTCTGCCTGTATCACACTGACTTCTTCCCTCTCCTCACCGATTTCCCTCCTCCCCCCTCCCTCAATCTGCCATTCCTTTTGGTCTCCATTACTGGTCCCTCCTCGTGACGCACCCTCTCTCTTCACCTCCCAGGTGCCCTCCTGAGTCTCATGGCTTTAAAGACCATCGTTTTGCTGGCAACACCCCAAATGTTCACCCCAAGTCTAGACCTCTCCCCTTTATGCCCCACAGCCTACTTGAGATCCCTTTGGGTGTCTAGTGTCTCAAAACTAACTTGTCCAAAACCAAATTCCTGATTTCCCCACCTACCCTTCCATACCTGCCCCTCCAAGTCCTCTGCATCCCAGGACATGGTAACCCCATCTTTCCAGTCACTCCTCCCAGAAACCTGGATGTTGTATCAACACACCCTCCACCCAGTTCATGGACAAATACTGATGGCTGTACGGTCAAAATAGATCTCAAGTGTGACCATGTCTCACAACCTCCACTGCCATCTTATTCCAGACCATCCTAATCTCTTGTGTGGATTATCGCAATAGCCTCGTAACTGACATACCTGTTTTCACTGTTGACCCCCGACGGTCTGTTCTAAACACTGCCACCAGTGACCCTGGTGATCCTACGTGATCCTGTTGAAAGCTAAGCCAGATCACATCCCTCCTCCACTCCGAATACCCCCGTGGCTCCCATCTCGTGCAGAGGAAAAGCAAAGTCCTTCCAGGATCTCTTGAGGTGCCCCCAAGTCTGTCCTTGTGCCCCCCACTTTCCCCGGCATATCCAGTCCAGTCACACCTCAGTATTTCACAGTCTCGTCTTGTAGCTTTAAACTTTTTCTTTCCACTGTCCTCCCTGGGTGTCAGCATACCTCACACCCCTTCCTCTTTCTGGTCTCTGCTCACATGTTATTTCTCAGTAATTCTTCTCTGATACCCCATCTTGGAGCTCAGCGGCAACCGCCCTGCCCTGCCATCCCCACGCAACACGGGTTTCTCTGTAGCACGAGCACCGATTGACAACCTGCACAGTATCGTTTACCTCTGGGTCTGCGTCCCACAGGAATCTAATTTCCACAAGGAGAGAGGCTTTTGTTTTACCCACGTGCTCACTGCTGTGTTTCTAGAACAGCACACGGCACATCGTTGGATGTGCAATGAACTCTCGACGTATAAATGGAGAATATTACTGATTTCCCCCACAGTCAAGGGCAGCCAGCCCTAGTCACCATCGTGCAGAGGTTCTGGGTAGCCACGCCCCCCTCCCTTCCCTCTAGAAAGGCTTTCCGTTTGCTCAGGAGAGGAAGACCTTGCCCTGGGGGCTCAGCCACTCCAGGCAGCGGTGATGCCTCCGTGTCCTTCTGGGCTGGTGTCCGTGGATCTTCGGGGGAAATTTATGCAGCCTGTTCAGTGGTCAGAACTGGGCCCAGACCCTCGAGCCAGTGGCTGAGTACATCCAGTTCTCAGCCTGAGAGCTGCTGTTACTGAATTTAACGTCCAACACTGGACCAAGACGGGCTGTTTCCTGCCAAGCTGAAAACCAGCCAAACACTGCATTGGCTAATCACTCCCTTTCTTTTGAGAGTTTTCACGTTAGACATTATATCTGAAACCTTAAATAATGCAGGCCCACTGGAATACCATCCTTTTTTAAAAAAAAACTTTTTTTGGTCATCGAAACAAAACAACACAACCGGAGCTGTCACTGGGAGTCAGCAGCGTGGGCATCTGCGGAGATGATGTTCATTCTCCTTCCCCCTGAACATTTAGCTTATTTATCATTTTAATGAATACGTCCAAGCCGAGATAATGCCCACTGTGAAATGCATACATTTGAATTTATTCTCTTTAAAAGGAGCTACATGTGCAGTAACCTCTAAGCAGGATGCACAGTAGAAGAGAATAAAAACACCTTTCCATGAAGAATTAGAATTTATACCAAGAAAAAAAGAATAAAAGTTTATACCGTTAGAAACCCGGCAAGAAAATAAAACGGAAGGGGAAATATTATAACAACTCTCTTGCCAAGCAGTTTGTAAATTACACTCTTACGGGCATAGATTTGGGTAAAGGGGGAAAAAAACCAAGCTATCAGTTGCAACCACATTCTGTCACAAATTATCCTCTGTCTGAGGCTGACTGACAGCTCACAAGCACATGTTTCCAAAGCAAGAAACAGGGAGAGAAGAGCATCCTGTGGGGGAAGGACGGAAGGATGTCCATCTCAGGCCAGGATGGAGGGCAGAGCTCACGGAGAAGGCAGGGATGGTGTGTCCCTGAGGGAACCTGCAGTGAATGACACACCTTAGCGAGATTTTCCCGGGGTCGTGACTCATTTCAGCCCAACTTGTGTTTCCCCAGAGTAGTCCTAAACCCAGACACCTGAACGAGCCCCTTCACCCAGGCCCCACCACGGTGAGCTGGTGGCCGTACCTTTCAGGCAAAGGGAGGGTCGCGCACAGACCTGCAGGGCAGCCCTCCTCACGTTTTATCAGTTGCTCCCCCATTTTGCATGATTGCTGCCATGGTTACCTTGCACCTGTGTCCCACAGAGACTGAACATTTCATTTTCTTGACCTGCAACGTGAAATGAGTTAAAAGCAGGTGCTAAAGAATGATGATCCTGACCTTCGCTGGCTGCATGGCGATGTGCTTCCTGCAGGGAATGAGGGGCCGCAGGGCTGATCTCTTTCCCTGACCCAAGGATAGGTAGGGTCACTCCTCACTTCTCACAGAGCTTAGGAAAAAGGCTAAAGCACAATGTAACTAGTCGTTTAGGTAACAGAAGCAAACATGTGACCATTAACAGGACGCTCTTCTCTTATGGAGTGTTTACAATGTATGAGTTGAATCCTTGTAATTTTTTAAATTTAAATTTTTAAGCCGAACCCAGTTTTTCTAAATAATTTCTTCCCTGAGTGTTGTATTTACTGGAATAACTTAGTTACAAAAAACTTAGAGAATCATTTATTTAGAAAACATATCTGGAGAACTTGCATTCTATCCCTAGTGAGGTAAATGGAATGGTCCCCAATGCGCCAGCATTTGGAAGAATAAAACCAATTAGATTTTATTTTTTTAAGTTAAGTTTTCAAACTGGATAAAAAAAAAATCAGAATTGAAAACCATTGGACTTTTTGTCAGTTTTGTGAATTTGAAATATGTTATTTTTACGTGAATGGCTTTTTTCACCTTTTATTCATCTTTTAAAACATACACAATGAATCTTTAGATTTTTCTTAGCAGTTTATTCAAAGTAACAGTATCCTCCAAATCTACCACTTGGCTGTATGTTCCAGTGGCCTGTTGTAGTGGTATACTTCAGATGTTATTATAATAAAAAACAGTAAATATTTTCAGGGTTCATTTGGACAACTGTATGAGGGATATTCTTTCAAACAAAATAACAGAACATCCTCCTGAAGTGGTCAGAAATAAAAATGGCCCGTAAAGAGTCATTATATCCGGCAGGGTTTGTATTTAATAAGGTGTGATTTTTCACATCACCACTGCTCTCCTTGCAACCGTTGCTTTGATTGGAAAGTACACGTGGGGTGGAAACTCGGGTGATCGTGGCCCTCCGTCTCCTGCCTTGTGTTTCTCCCCGATCTTGACCAGCTCCGTCTGTCTGACGGCCACGGCCATGTTCAGGGTGCAGAGTCTCATATAAAATCTTAATATGAATAACTTTTGAAAGAAACATTTATATGTTCCAGTGGAAACAGATGGAAAGTTACAGCTTGACACCCTGCTTCTCTGCGATGACTCATCTTAGACCAAGCCCGGCCTGGAGTGCACAGGAGACAGTGATGGTTAAGTTTTTCAAGAATCAGATGAAGCATGAATGCAAAACCCAGTGGAAGAGTAGAAAGGGCTGGTACCATAGCCAGTGTTGATTTCATTTTTACCAACAAAAGCAAGAAGAAAATTCTAACATGAGAAATTTGGGCATAAAATTCCTACCTTCCCAATGACCTGTCTCCCTAGGGAGGGGACGTGATGGCTCAGATGCCAAGGACTGTCGTGCTCTGATTAAAAAGGGAGAAGCCCTTCAAAAGTGGATTCTGTTTAGTGAATTGAACATTTCAGTCCTAATATTTTTCATCCTGAACTCATTTAGCAGAGGAAATGGACATTTCATCAGACACAGACTTGACATTCCATCACATTATACTGTAAACAGGACAGATAGTGTTTTGAAACTGGGAAAGCAGGAGAGCTAAGACAGTGGCCACTGGAAGGCCCTGGTTATCTCATTTAAACAGATACGAAATGTGGGTGCCAGTAGTGTGATCATCGTCCGCTTCCCACTTTGTGAATAAATTGCTTAGAAGGAGTCTTTTGCCTACCAGATGTGACCTAGATTTAGATTTTCAAAGGCAAGGGGGAGAAAACTCTCTATTGTGTTAAAAAAAAAACAATTGCTGGTAAAATGCACAGTAAGTGAGCTTATCTCTCTTCTCCAGGTGTTTGGGCTAATATTGTTATGGAATTACTGCTTCATTTATGAAAAATAATTGGGGGAAATGTTCCAGCAAATCAACTTTGGATAAAGGCTGAGGACGTCTATTGTGTTGGTAGCAAGTTTCTAAAAGGCAGAAAGATCAGGGAGCCCAGAGGGATAATAAAAATATTTTAAAAACTGTGTTTGAGAAGAGTCTCTTATAAAAGGGTCAGGCGTGGGTGTGCTTTCCAACTTGTGTTGGGGTTTAGTGAAATAGGGAAGAACAATGCGAACAATTACATTCCTTTCAGCGCCTGTGAAAGCCGTTGAAAAAAAATCAAAGCTCTTCTGCCTGCTAACTCTGATAAGTCTTATGACTCTGTTAAATGCAGCAAAGTTTTAAAAAGCTAACATTTTTATTCTCCCTTACCCACCGTGTCTTCTTTCTCGTTTCCTCTCCCCTTCAGGAGCTGCCACTCCAAAACCAGTCCCAGAACCCGAGAAACAAACAGACCACACAGTCAAGATCGCAGGAGTCATCGCTGGCATCTTGCTGTTCGTGATTATATTTCTTGGAGTCGTGTTGGTCATGAAGAAAAGGTGAGCTCCCGGCCGTTGCCACCCATATGCTTCTTGGCCCGCTGTTTGCCAAGAGGCTTCTTGTGTGTGAAAATACTCAGTTACTCATTTGGCTTTGATGACCGAGATACATCTGTGGCTCTGGTTGTTCCTATTTTGCATCATAAAGCATTCAAGGTTATGGGACAAAATTTAGGGTACATGGCTATGATTTTGGGTAAATTTGCAGTTTCTCATGCCGGGTCAACATAAGGATCATGTGTCTTCCCAGAAGTTGGTACATAAAACTTGGCAGAATGAGTAAAATCATTTATTCACCAGGAAATGTTTAGTATTTACTAGCAACAGACTAGGTCTTGAGAATATGAGAAAAAAGACTTTTCCTTCTCATTATATTGAAGATTATGGCGATGACAGAATTTACTGGGCCCATATTATGTGCGGGCACCATGTTAATATCCCATGAGAAAGGGACTCTCAGAAAGCAGCTGGACAGCAACGCAGGGCATGGACACATAAGAACAAGAATGGTAGCATGTTGGATGTTATAAGGTTGCCCTGTTTGGCCAGGGGTGATCAGAGGAGGAGAAAAACAGATATGGCTATAATAAGCAATCTTCACCTCTAATACGTGAAAAATAGGCAGTGTGGAAATGAGTGAAAACTTGCTTAATAATGTTCAGTTTATATAGAAATGATCAACATAAAATATAGACAGCAAGAAGTGAAAAGACAGATTGTCCCTTTTTTATGTAGTTTAAAAACAATTATAAACAACAGGGTCCTATGTGTAGCGCAGGGAACTGTATACAATATTCTGTGATAAACCATAATGGAAAAGAACATGAGAAAGAGTATGTATATACATGCATAATCGAATCACTGCGCTGTACACCTGAAACTAACACAGCATTGTACATCAACTAGACTTCAAGTTAAAGAAAAGATTTTTAAAAGTGATGGAGTGTGAGTAAGGTTACGGAGGATAGGAGGTGAGGACGGAGGGGTCGGCAAAACCAGGTCTTGGAGGTCTTGTCTGATCACCTAAGGAGCTGGACCTGGTCGTAAAATCCACTGGTGGCATTTAAGCAGGTAGTAATGTGACGTGCTTTTGCTCTCAGAAAGATCACTCTGATGTTAGGGTTGAGGCCGGCAAGGAGAGAAGAAGGCTGGAGTTAGGAAGACCAGCAACTTCAGAAACATAAGGAGCTACGTTGTAGTAGCCGTTTGCAGGCCGATCTGAGGGAGATGGCGCAAAATAGAAAGAACCTCCTTGCTGCCGTGGCAGTTGGTGGGGGTATCGCCACTCCCCAGATGTGGAATGTGTAGGAGGTGGGACATGTGGGGCGTGAAGACGGGGAGCTCAGCTCTGCACTTTTTAAGTTCACTCTTCCTGTAACGTGGAGTAGACATGACCACTGAGCAGTCAGATATGCTGGTGTGGGCCAGGAAGAGTACTTTCCACAGTCAGAGTCATCCATCCACATACGTCCGGCTGAAGCTAGGGCTGGGACAAGGGCACTTAGAGCTACTGTCGAGTCAGAAGGAGGTCAGGGATGAAGGTAAACCCTTGGGTCACAGCAATATTTAAGGGGAGAGTTAATATCCAAATGTGTATACATACATATACATCTTTCCTGGCTTCTTCGTTTTCTGGTAACTGGTCTAGTTAGGCCTTAGGACAAACAGCTGCTCTGTCCCAGCTCATATGTGACTAATTGGTCCCCATCATTTCAGCTACTCCTTCCCACTTGTCATCCATCCCCTCTTCCTTTCTCTTTGCTCACACATCGTTTAATTTCTCTCCATTTTTTAAATCTTTTTTCTTGTGTTGAGAACTTTCACGATCTACTCTCTTAGCAACATTCAAATATACAGCGCTATAGTGTGGTGTATATATAGTGTTACTAGTATAGTGATATTAACTGTAGTCCCTGAGCTGCACATCCCATCCCCAGGACTTGTTTATCTTATAGCTGGGAGCTTCCTCCTCCTTTTTCATTTCTCATCTCTCTAGCTTTCTTTTCTTTACCCTTCTCTGCTTCTCTAGCTGTCAGTCCCTTTATTTCTTTCTCCCTTCACACCTCTGTCTCTTTTCTTCCTTCTTCTTCTCCGTCATCTCTCATACACTTTTTCCTGGATGTGCTTTTTCTCTCCCCACCTTGGTGTTTATGTAGAAAGCTTAGCTGTAGTACCAGTGGTTGGTACTTTTTTTTTTTTTTAATATGATCCAGTATAAATTCTAAGCAGCACTAGGCCCTTGTACGCCTGGATATTCAAACTAAACATTTTGGGGAGTTGATTTTTAGCTGTGGGAATGTGTTGGATTTTTGTGTCATCTGGCAAGTTCTCTGTGAGGAATAGCCTGAAACTACAAATCCAGTTGCCCTCGTGACCTTAGCTAAATGTTAATTCACCCTCCAAGGCTCTGTTTCTGCAGGATTAATTCATTATTCCACCTTGGACTCTCAGGCAGTCATGGAGGTTGTGTTATAAATTATGCATTTGAAGAAACTGCCCATGGTAACATATGGCCTTGATACAACTTTAGACTAAATTCCAATAACTCATATCAAATTTACATGATTATTTACTAGATAATAACCTTAAAAGGGTTATTTTCACAGCATGTGCCACTTGTGTATTTGCTTTTCCTGAAATATAGAATATGCTCCCTTGTAAGGCAAATTTGCCAATATACTATGCCTCTAAGTACAAAACTTGTAAGGTTTTGACCTGAACAGTCATGTGGTCCAAACTGTCCTATTTAATAGAAATTCCAAAACCTTCTGATTGTTCAGGGTTTTCTCCCAAAATTTGAGTCTAAATTTTAAAAGTTGTATTTTTAAACAGAACCGTTAAAATATGATAGTAATCATGAATAAGTGGCTGGAGAGTTATTGATACATAACAAGCTACAGTGTTTGGTTAGCAACAGGGAGTTTAGATTTGGAATTCCTAGACCTGTGTTTTAACTAATTTTGTGATTCTGACTTCCTCTGGGCCTTAGTTCCTTCATCTTTAAGTTGAGCAAATTGCACTCCCCGATCTCTGAAGTCCCCCCCAAACTCTCCGGTTTTCTGTTACGCGGCAGCCAATGGTGACACAACTATGCAGTTGCTGTCCTGCAAGTGCAGTGGGGGCTCCTTACTCTATCTCACGCTGTAAACATACACAGTTGCTTCTCCAAAGCTTGCTTTGTGCAGCAGATTCAGATCTCCGTGTGTTGGCCGGTGAGGGGTTCACCTTTTAGCCACGCGTTTCCCATTGTCACACAGGAGGCACTCAGTTAAAAGGCGAGTAGTGGGGAGATGTAATGAGAGAAGGAGGGTGGGCAGGAAAGAGCTGGCTTTCAGTGTAGTGCTAGTCGTGTTTGCTTGTTCGAGCCTGTGCTAATCAAACTTGCAGGCCCACTCCTACCCGGGCCAGACTCTGGGTCGCCAATGCGAGCACATGCCATTGGTCATAAGGACATCCTGGGCCCAAGAGAAAGTGTGGGTGAAGCAAATGCACCAGTACTTCTGGAAATACAATTGGAAGTCTGTCTTGCTGGGGAAAAGTCAGTAGTGACCGTCTGGGTGGGTCAGCATGCCAGGCCACGTGGGCCTGAGCTCTTTGGAGGAGGGACAGCAAATTTCACTGGGAGACATTGCCAGTTATTAGATTAACTAAGATCATGTGGGCGTCTGAAGGCTCAGCCTTCTCTAAAAATTAGTTGCTGGAATAGAACCTGTAAAATCTGTTCAACTCATACTAACTCATGGAATCCTTTCACACCTAGGCCATAATGACTGAAAACTGAGATGACCTTCAGTCTCATTTGGCTATAATGTTTTACAAACCTGTCACAAATTAGACTAGTTGTTACCTGTTTGTGAATATTAATACATTCAAGCCTTGCCTAGACTAATACAATACAAAACCTGCTTTTCCTTAAAACCTTTTACAAAACCTTTCCGTGTATTTTTATCTTATTCTTTAAGAGAGCAATTTCTTATTACTTTCCGCTTCCCAGGAGTATGTGTTCTGAGGGTGCGGTGTTTTGGCACAGCAGATGCTAAGAAAGGGTGTTGAGATGAATAGCTATGAAATAAGTTTCATGCAGTCACGTGACAACACACTCTCAAAATTAATATAAAATAAGTTGAGTAGCAGATACTTCGTTTTTATCATTTTCATCCCTGTATAATTAAATTTATTTGTATAAATGAAAATGCCTGCATTTTCAACATTTTTCGTAAGGAATAATTTATCTCAATAACATGTTTGACAGAATTTAGTATACCAGCACCATCTATTTTACCCTGATTAATTATGTTTACTATTGTTTCTAAAATTGCTATAGATCTTTTAGAAATTTGAGAACATTTGTATCAATTACAGTAATACTTCTGTCTCGGTCATTGTGGTAAATAGAAATTACAGAAGTTGTGACTAAATGGAAATCATTAAAGAGATACACATTCTTGCTGAAAATAGCAAATGTTAGTTACTCTACTTCATGAAAACCTGTTACAGGTAAATGTGACTACTTTCATCCTCCAGCACCATACCTCTATCTCCTTCCCATAAAGCATTTTAACAGATGTACATTTTGCAAAAGCAGCCTATATCATTAAATATTTAGCACCTTTCTGTTATATTTTAAAAACACTGGAACTACCAAGATAAAAAAGTTCCATAACATAGGAAGAGTATCTGGAAACATGAAACAGAAAAGATAAGGGAAAAAGTCTGATGAAAGCCCTCTTTTCAAAGAGACGCCTACAGCATGTGAGTGGAGGTAAGTCGACATTAACTATAGTTCCCCCACTAGAGCTGTTGACACTTGACATGGGAAAATTTTTTCCACTGCAGTTAAGTGTGAGTTACATGTGAAAAATGCCTTAAGCCTGGATGCTTTATTCGAAGTCCTACTTCAAAATCACATTTTCTGAAAGTGCATTGAGAAAGTCATGTCTAGGCATGTCTTTTTGGTTATTTAGAATATGTGTACTTGATATGTAGCTGTGTAAATAATA